TTTTGTCTAAATGGTTCCATAAAGAACTTATAACGTCTGAAGAACCTTTCTGTTTCACAAAAGGTTCTTTGTGGCGAAAGAAGGTTCTTCAGATTACAAAAAGGTATAAAAGAGATGGTTCTTTAAAGAACCTTTGACAGAATGGTTCGTTGTGGAACCAAAAATGGTTCTTCTATGGCATCGCTTGAAGAACCTTTTGAAGCACCTTTATTTTTAAGAGTGTAGGCGCCTTATGCCATCCTTTAGTAAAAATTTAATCCATCAGAACAAAGCTGTTACAGTAAATCCAATCAATACATATCTCCACTTCAGCATGAATGAAAGGAAGCGTGCTGTTTCCTACAGTAAGGACATCGGTACAGTCTGCTTAAGTGCTTTCCTCTCCATCGCCCTCCTACATGCTGTGCAGGTGCGGGTGATATGACCGAGACAGTCAAATGACAAGGCTGAAGGTTAAGACAGAGTAAAGAGGCAGGACGAATTGACCATAATTATCAGACTCATGGAGATTCAGGCATCTGCGCTGTCCTCCATTAGACTCACTGAGGCGTATCCATGCAGGAGCCAGAGCCAAGAGCCCAAGATTAATGCAAACAGCCACCCTCGTTATAGAGGAGCGCGTCTGTTAACTCTGCTAATTGTTATTAATAGCTGAAAAAACGGAGAAATGTGTTGAGAATGAATCGAAGGCCTCATGAAAACATTTAATCAATTTACTTTTCATGGCAGCGGAATTTTCTCTGAACTCCTCATTTATTAAGAATTGTATGTCATTAGCAAGTCCAGAAAGATATATATATATATATATATATATATATATATGTGTGTATGGATGTATGCATGCATGCATGCATATCAATCTCCACAGATTCAAAAATATGTACCAAAAAATGTAGTTTTTCACTGTAAATTATACAATGGCTTGTTCTTTCACTTCTTTCACTTCCACAAACTGAATATTTAACAGTTTATTACTGTAAAAATACGTGAAATGTGAGGTTTATTACATTACAGTTTTTCACTGTATATAATAAAGGAACGTATGGTTAACCAGTTTTTTTTTCTATAGCATTTTACAATTATAATTGCAATATTTTTTTTTACAGTGTACAGTACGAAAAACATTGTTTTGGTTGTGATTTGGCTATAAATCTTTATTATAGGTTTATCAAAGTGTATCCAAAGTAAAGACACAGTTTGGAAGCTGGATTTTTATTTTTACTCTCTCATTAATAATATAGTTGTTGTTTAATCAAAAATGCTATAATAAACACACACCAAAATCTGTGGAGCTTCATGTGGTACTGGTATATAGTTATTAGTTTTTCTGACTGAGTCTATGCGCTCTGACTATTCTGGTATTTTAATATACACATCCTCATAAGTCAGATGTCCCTGTTTTTTTTGCTTTAGGTCACTGAATAACCCCATGAACCCACATGCATTTAATAAAGTCAGATGTTCGACTCTGCCCTTTCTCAACCCACTGGAACAATATGTGGGCAATTGAGAGGAGGTTGACCATGACTGGATCACACCTCATTCACACTTGAATTACGAAATACTGTAGCCATCACTGTCTGTAAATAATGTATGTAATTATAATATATGCAATAAAATGTCATTGATAAATCTATACATCAATGTATATATATATATATATATATATATATATATATACATTGATGTATCAAAACTATTCAGCCAAAGGACAATACTGGGGGGCTTATGAACACAAAGTGCAGATTGTTTGGCAGAGAGAGTTGTTTCAGCTTCTGTCAGGTTAGCAGATATACAGTAGAAAGTGCCATTGTATTGTGTTAAATGGGTTAGATTGTTGAGATCTCAGGTTTGGCATTTTCTTTTTAGCTGTTGGGAGGAAATAAATGTTCTGTGCAAACAATAGAGAGGCCAACACTGCGCTTTCCACCTGATGGTGTTGTTATCGCCTTTCTACATCCCTACTGCCGTGTTTTGAAATGGATTTTAGATTCAGACACTGAGAGCAGGGGAATCATTGCAGAGGACAACATCCTCTGATGTCTGCTCTCAGCATCATTTTTTAGTTTACCCAGTGGACCAATTTATGCATCATATACAGGGATCGGTGTTGTTATCTAACTAGAAAAGATCAGAGTTTGCTCTGTTTTGCAAGCATCAGCTTTTATTTTCTTGCATTCATCTGAAATGGTGCTCATCTGTCTTTAACAACCCGAAGCTATGACTCACAGATGGCCGTAGTTGAAGCTTGTTGACAGTCAGCAATGTTAGTTGATATGAAAATATACCCAATAATAAGGCAAGAGAACCCTATGGATTTTTTAGTACACTTAAAAGTTTCAGTTAAAAAGGCCATGCCAGTTGACAGCAAAGAAGGAAAAAACAATAAACCTGCATATAGTTTTGAAAAAAAAAAAAAAAATACTCACAATACCATAGTTTAAAAGCGTGTAAAAACAAACAAACAAAACAAACAGATCATGAACATTTTCAAATGTTATTTTTACTTGCTATTGTTATATAGAACATGGGCCAGCGTAATAAGCTTTATTGGATTCTTTATCCTGTTTTAAGGATTATCTGGTACCTAAGAGGATGTAGCCTATTAGTAAGTCGAGAACAAAATCTTTGTGAACAGCTGCCAGATTAAAAAAACACCAGCACCTTGGTGACTGTTCTTCTCTTGGGTAACTATTAGGTTTTATGATTTGTTGCCAGCACGCTGGCTAAATGTGCCAGCAATTGCAGACTGTACAAAGTTTTGCAGAAAGCTTACACAAGCCAATATTTAAGTGCTTGTTTGTGTGGCCAGGAAGCAAGGTGAAAAAGTCCTAGAAAGACAAGGCAGGTAAAATCCATGCTCAGCTGGTCTTCTGGGTAATCTGTGCTGACAGGCTGGGCATCTGAGAAACCCGGCAAGCTGACAGGTTGCCCATCCAGCACTGTGTGGGAGACAACCACACTTGTCAAAGCATATAATGTGTAAAGCTCTTCGCTTGAGGGCAGGGATATTTTCTGAGAGGAACACATGGAACTCTTAAAAGATAAAGATACTTCATGAAAACGAACAGAAAAGACCCTTTACTGTAGTCATGCATCTCAGATTTTCATGTCCCACTGAAGCCGGAGCCAAAATTAATCACTTATCTGGTGTCGCAGCAGACTGACCAGGGTTAGAGATGGGTGTCGAAAGGGTGGCAAAAAAAGCTCTTTGAGCGCCAAGACCTGCAGACATTTGATGACGTTCATTTCACGGCTATAAGTGGCAAAGTGTTAGATCGTTGGCAAAGGGAGCCGCATCCTTTACAAACTGTAATTACGGAGCATGTGGCAGTGATTTGGACAGATAGCAGGTGGAGCAGGAGGACAGCCTGTCACCGATCTGTCAGCCAGTCACTGCCACACAGGGCTTGGCTCCGGAAAACGCAGATAATAGTCAACTTACGAGCGGGAGGCAACGTTCCCTGAAGAGGAGACATGTGAGAGATGGAGGCATGCGTCTGTCTGAGGTGAATGTTTTTCAGACAGTCACTCCGGGGTGAGGATTCAAATGAGGAGATGTGAAAAATGCTTTGTGGGTAATTGAGTGAAATAACCACATATGGATCATGAACCGCATGACTGATGAAATTAATATGAATATGGAGGGGAAAAAAACAATGCCTCCAGTGGTATTCAAGCATACGTGTGAAGCATGCATAGGAAAGCACTTGTAACAGTTTTAAAATAGTCTGTTTTATTTCATATACAAATTTCGTAACTGATATTTGAATGGGTCAACACGTCCACAATAACGATATAGAAAATGTTTGGTCATCATATGTGTAACTACATAAGGCATACAAAAGACAGCAGGCTACATGACAGCAGCAGAGTATAGTACTGCTGGGGACTGGTATTATTATCCCCTACACGGCAATGAAAATGATGTAGTCTGTCTACTGCTATTTTCAGTACTCTGTATTATATATGATGCTCATCCAAAGCATCACGTAGATGTCTTGAGGGGTTTATGCTTATATGCATCATGTGGTTACTCCAGACAGTTAGCCTGACTGATCCAACAACATAGTTTAAAAGCTGTAGAAAGTAGTAGTCAGAAACACTCTTGTTAACTGTGTTTAAGAACAAAAAAAGAGGATAGATAGATAGATAGGAACTCATTCGATGGTTCCTTAAATAACTTGTTTCAGTAGTGCTGACCTTGTCGTATAACAGTAATACAGTTAATATAATAACGATAATACAAAATGATAAAGTGAAATTCGTAGATCATGAGCTGTGGTTTTAATTTCTTCCCTAGAATGAAAATCTATGATATTTTGATGCACTGTAATATATTGGAAGACTCGTACTGGGTATATAAATATGACTTTTTTCCACCACAGCCAATAACTGTATCTATTGTGCAAACTCATAACAACTTTGTGCAAAATTGTGGAAAAGTGGCTCTTGTTTTCTATAATAAAGTCTTGATATCAGCATTTGTAAATATAAAGTCCAAAAACATCTCAACCCACTGACACCAACACATAAAAGCATTACACAAAGTTCTCTATGTACACAAGTAATGCAACAGATACGTACTTCATATTAAAAACGCTTATTTTAGGAGTGCACAGATACACATAAAATATATCACAAAAGCTTCTCACGTAATCAAACTCAGTGGCCTAGTGTGTGACTGGTAAAAATGAAACATTCGCTGATCAAGTTAGCCATCTTTTTCTTTCTTTTGTTTTAACCCGACATGAATTTGAAGCTACATATAGTGAGTGTAAAGGTTGGCAGTTTTTGTGCCTCAAAGTGGTAAAGGACATATTATGCTATGCCTGAGACAATCTGTGCAAATGTTACTGTGAGCTTGTGAAAAGCGCTTCACACCAGGTCCATGAGACATCTAGGGCGTTGAGTCAGATCTGTCAACAACACTGGGTTCTTCTGATACTCTGGGAAGATGGGGTCAAGTCTTCTCTGTAGGTTCAGACACTGCAGTGTGTTGAACTTGTGTCTCTTGTTTCATCCAAATGTAGTTTAGAGCTTTCGGAAAACAGTGTCTTATGAGCAGTGTTGAGAACTCTGTTATGAGGTCACCAAGGAGTAGATCATACTGGAAGACAGAACAAACAGGTGTTACTGACTTTGTGTGCAAAATTTATACTAAAATAAAAAACTATTGAGTAAAATCTGATGAATGTTGTTCCGAGTCACTAACAACTTACACAAGATCTTGGTTGTGGGCCATATTCAAAGTTATTTTGATCTGTTTACTTGAAGGTGGCAAATGAGCTATTTAAAATGCCGATAGAAGAAACACCTGAAGTAGTTTATGACGTGAATCATGCACTCATGATTTCAGTGAGCTGTGATTAATTAAATCAGTCAAACAAATTTCAGAGTTTATGATTTATCTTAAAGACCAAAGTTGTAGTGAAAGCATCTGATAGTAGAAATTCATTGAAATTTGTAAATAACAATCCATTTTACATTATAAATGAAACAGAACAACCAAAAAAACAATTAGATTTCTATATTTTCTGAAGAAAATGAGTGCTTTCTTATGATAGATAAATAGACAGACAGATGGAATTAATTTTAATTAATTTCAGAATATTTTATTACATCACTCCCATCTCTTGCATTGAAATGGGGACTTCTCCCTTTGTGCACGTTACTTTTCGATTCTGATGAAATGAGTTTGTGCCCGTGGGTTCAATCATTCTGTCAGGGAACAGCTTTAATTAGTTAATTTCTCCCTAGCTAAAAACAAACACAAAGATGTATTTTGTCCCCAAATTATCCAGCTGAAACCGCAGCATTCATCCTCAGCTGGTGGAAATATAAGGCGAGAGGCTTCAAAGCAGCTGATGTTATGGAAAATGACAGCTTCACCAGCTTGAGGATCACTCCAGGCAGGTCGTGTATGATATGGATTGTATTTATTTAGAATGCACTGCCATATGTTGAATTTCTGTGCTGACTTCACACTAGGGGTCATTGATGTCATGCCAGAATGCTGTCCACAGGCATTAATACATAATAAGGGGTTGCCCTGATAAAAACTGCATAAGCAGTTCTTGGCTCGCTGTGTCTTATTATTTTCAGTGTGTGGGGGTTGGAAAAGCAGCGGCGTGGATCCTTTTATATTCCTAATCTTTTTAAAAACAAAGCAGATCTATTGATGCTCTTTGGAATTATATCACTGCTGCATATGAAGCATATTTGACTTCATTCGAAAATGTTTTTCGAACGTTGAGTGTCATGATTATATTCAGTGCACACAGCTAAAGTCTTATCCAAAATCTAAAGATGTATTATTAAGGACTGCAGCTTATCTGTGTCCTGAAAACACAATTTTAGTGTTCGTGTTGAAAGTGGTAGATCAATGAAAAATGTATTTCAGCTATGATCATAGATATGATCCTGATGGAGCCTGAGGCAAACAATGTTCCTTATGCCTTTGCAATCTTTATGAAGCTTCAACACATGAGAACTAGTGTGATGTTTGCCCAAATCTCTCTCTTTCACTTCTGCCGGAGTGGCACACTCCTTTCTTGAGTCATTAGGTTTGAATGGTGTTTAGAAAAAAGGAATGGCAAACCTACTATTGTAATTGGATGGGTGATGGCCTGGTGCGCTGATATTGGATTTGCAATTGATTTGTAAGATTGATTCGTGAGAGGGAGCACAACATTGTGGTTATTACGAAGGGTTAGAGTACAAACAAAATTTGAAGATCAAGCCACAGGGGTTAAACTAAGGCAGGCAAATGGGCAGCATTCATCAAATCAGACGTTATATAAGAATTTATAAGAAGGCTCAGCCCAAGTTTAGTTTTGCTGAAAGTTAAGATTAAGTTAAGCATTATATTAATTACTACAGAAATTAATTTAAACTCATCCCTTAGTTCAAAAAAGTTAAAAATAAATCAAATAAAAGTAAACTGTGATAGCATCCAGAGACTTAAAAGGCCAAAATGTGATGCTCATATTCTTAAGCAGTATACAATTCTATAAAATGTTCTATAAAATTCTATAAAATGTTCTAAGCAAATAATCTTGTAGTTATTTGCCACAGTTACAGTTACAGTTACAGTTTTCCAGTTAGTCTTTGGTAACTCACATTAACTCTTACAATCTTTAAAATATCTTATTTTGTGTTCACCAGAAGAAATAAATTCATACAGGTTGAAAAAACTTGAGGGTGAGGAATTGATCAAAGAATTTTCATTTTTGGGTGAACTACCCTTTTAAGTTTAAGATTAACTGGAACATGCCTTTAAGAAGGTAGCAATAAAAAGCAAGCAATTGACCCTTTGCGGGGAGTTTGATTGACAGGCGATCTGACCAATCATAACGCAGAATCTGCCAGTTTTGTCCTGCAAACAAACCAGACAGGAGAATAGATTAACATTGGTGGACTTGAACTTGAAAAATGACGTCTTGACGTCTTTCCACGGTTGAAACAAGATACCTTCTGATGTTCATTCATGTTAATTTCATGCTATAACTAGTAAATACGAAAAGGTGATCAGTTCATGTGCTGATTGAACTGAGGCGCTACATTGATCTGTCTCGACACATTAAAAAGCCATAAAACGGTATTTATTGATTGAATTTCTTAAAAAATGAAAAAATTGAAAGCTTTGTTTAATACCTAAAGTAACCTGCTCTGTCTTGTCTGTCGGTGCGTTGTCAGTGTCGTCTTTGCTCCACGATGTTTTTTTCACTACATGAGAACATGATGTGTGGCGTGAGAGTGCCATGGATTGCCGGACATAGCAACAGTAACGAAGGGGGGTGGGTCTTATGCAAAGGGTCAATTAGAGGAGGGGTCAAAGGTCAAAGTTACAGAGACCATTGATGGAGACCCTTGCAATATGCTATGAAGGGAAGTAAGACCTGTGAATGTTTCACAATGTGTGGCACAATTAGGTGAAGTTTAAGTTGTGCATAACCACTGAGAATAAAAGCTCCAACTCACTACCGTCACTTTTCAAAGAGTGGGTGAGTACAAAAGACTCTGAACAAAACGGCTGAATTTGTCCTAGAATTTCAATTCCAGAAGCAAATAGCATTAAGTAATGCAGAACGTGGCTGGTGCACAACAATTGCCTTTGATCTGACAAAAGGTCATAAGGCCTGTTCGCTGGAAGGGTGAACCTTTATAGAATATGTGCGTTTTTATATGTGTACATTAACATTTAATGTGACGTGATATAGTGTGGAGGAAAAAAGGAATTTGGGAATTCTACCCAAAGGCATGTTGCTGGCGCCATCCAAGTGCGTCCTTGTCAGTTCAAATGCTTGTTTATGTATATATCTCTGCTATGCTATAGGCTTAAGGTAGCTTATACTATAGCAAAGGCACACACTAAAAAGCATATTTGGCTGTAATGATATAAAAATCAGTGAGTACATTGCACAGAATCCCATTAGTAGGCAATTAAGTTTGGTTGAGACAATTGCTGGATATCTACTCACCAGTAGAGATAGTAGAAGAATGAGAGGACAAAGAAGGACATCTTGCACCAGGCTTCTTTTTGGCAGAATTTGAGTGTGTCTCCGTTCATGACTGACGCTGGATCGTAGAGAAGCTCCTTAGTGTCGGTGGGGCTGTGAAAGTACCTGCCGAAAATGGGAAAAAACACGAGCCGGGTAGTGCGTCTTGAAACATTAAGTGCACCTTTGTTTTAGTTTTTCGTTTGCGTATCATTTAATTTAATTTAATTCATTATTTTATTAATTAAATTTTATTTAATGTTTAATTTAACTTTATTTATTTTTATTTTTATATTTTATTTTTTTAATTTGTATATATTTGTATTTTTTTAATCTAATGCAAAGTTTAGCTTGTCTAAGCCTCTTTAATTTAAATATTTCTGTCAATCTTGGCAGTCCTTGGAGATGGATGATTTAAATATAGTCTGTAATTGTAAGACAAGGAAAAACGTCATCCCTGGTGCAATAATTCTATTAGGGAAATCGAAAACAAGGAGTGGAGGTTTAAGCGCATTAGGAGGAAAAAACGTGAAAGAATTAGAGCAAAACAGAGGGAAGAGCAGAGTGACAGTGCATTATAGCAGCATCATTGGATCTGTTAAAGAAAGGTAGATTTCTTACAAGGAAAGCAATAAATATGATATGTAAAATTATTGATAGCAAGTTCAACCAGCTAATCAGATATAACTTCATAACAATATTTAAAATCCACTATTACTATGGTACTGATTAAGTTCAGTGTTTCATCATCCTGCAAAAAACAAACAAACAAACAAACAAAAAAAACAACAGAACGATCTTTCATATTCTGAGGATGGTGGCAGAAATTGACAACAGCTCTGAACATTCAGTAACAAACCCCTAAGAAAGATTTAGAGCTCCACTGCAAAATGACTGAAACTCATTTTATCCCAGTTATGATTTCCCCAGTTGTTTCACTGTGTGATAAAACAGTCAGTCTGCTATTACTCATCTAGAAAAATTTGGAAGACTAATGCGCAGTGACAAGATTATAAAGACACTGTGGCAAGAAGCTTAATATAGGAAAATTAGGAATGGGATTGATCTGAGCATATTATAATAGTGATGCATGTAAAGCATCCATAAAAACACTGGTTTACAAGAAAACATTACATTTTTAATATTTATTATTTTATTATTTATTTAGCAAGAAAATTAATATTAACGGTTTCTACTTTTATTTATTTAATTGTTTATTTATTTTTAAGCAAAACATTCTGGACATAGCTCATCACTCATTCAGTCAAGCAGAACTGATAATAATGGCTTTTTTATTTTTATATTTCCATGACTATAATTAGCTGTTTTGTACTTAAATAATCATAAACTGGAGGTATATTAATATCAGAAGTATTGCTGTCTATAGAGTCTAGGGGCTGTTTATAGAGTCAATGGCTGTCGTGGGTACAAGTGTGATTTCGCAGGACACCTGTTTTAGTGAAAGCTGTCAGGTAGTATGCACATAGCTTGTTTAAGAGGAGTAAAAGCTGGTTCAGGTGCTCACCTCCATGTGTTGTAGAAGAGCAGAGGGATATTCAGGCCTACAGTAAGCCACTCCTGAGCACACAGGAACATGATACAGAAGAGTCCATGGATAGAGTACTCTGGAAGCACCAACTAAAGAGAACACAGATAAATAACTTTTGAAAACAATTTCTTTTGTCGGTGCCGATAGCCTCGTGGTTAGTGCTCTGACATAAGCTCAACTGTGCTTGTGGCGACCCGAGTTCGATTCCCATCTCGAGGTCCTTTGCTGATCCTGCACCTCCCTCTCTGTCCAATGCTTTCCTGTCTCCTCTAAATGGTCCTGTCCATTAAATGCATAAAAGCCCCCTTTCCCCCCAGATGTATGGATTTTTCTTTGATTCATTCTTAAAGGTATAGCTCACCCAAAAGTGAAAATTAATTGTTTACTTAGCCTTATGTCGTTTCAAACTAACTTTTTTGGTTTTGTTTTTGTTGTTTTTTTGTTCTACTCATTTTAAAGAGTTTAAAGAGGATATTTGGTTATGATTATATTATAGCGAATAGGCAGAATATTCTGAAAAGCCCTAAGTCAGTTTAGCACCATATTTAATTTTTGAAAGAAATGAAAACAAGGCGAGGAATGGAAGTACAGTGCATTCAATGGGTTGTACTGCTGTTTAACAACATACAGATAGTCCAGCTGATGAAATGTCTTTTCGAAAAACATTTCAGTAGACAAAATCTCCATAAAACAGTTTTGTTATGTGCTCTAGTAACTTTATACAGTGTGTGCCATTGTAAAGTCACAGTCTCGTTTTCATCTTCAATAAATTCAGTATGCCATCTAATCTAAGTTCTGTTATCATTTTGGGTGAACTATCCCTTTAAGAAAGGAACTGACTATATTACATTCATATCTGTTGCTCTGGAGAAATTTCAGAGATCAGTGAAAATTGCATTGGATTTCTCTTATATAAGAAAGAGAGATACAACTATTAATTTTTTCACAGAAATTCTAAGACCTGATGAAATAAAAGAAATCAAGAAATCTTATGTGATCACTGGAGTTAACATTGTGAGTTTTAGGACGTGGGTTCTAGGTTATGTTAGATCACCTTCAGCTGAGGAAGAACAGGACAATTTGTGGCAGCACTGCTGTGCCAGTTTGCTGTAAATGGACAAGAAAGGGGACTTATAGGGCAGTTACTTTGAGCAGTACTTGAGTTTTTTTTTACTAAGTATTCTAATACCCAAACGACTTCAGATGTGTTGCCCATTCACAGTGGGATTTCCTTTCTAACAAACTCCCATACAAGCACTGACAAATGAATAAAAACACAATAGCAACAGTTTAACATCAAATAAACCTCAGTTAGACTGTATAGCAAATCGATCGCCAAGTATAGTATATATATTTGCAGTATGTAGGACTTAAGGCTTGTAATATTGTAGCCATTAACTCCAGTTTATACCTGACACAGACTGAGGGCTGGCTTCAGTGAATCATTTATCATTTAAGACACAACATCCTAAGGCTCAAACCTTTCCTGTGGCATCCTTTCACAGCAGGTTAAAGGAAATGTGGTTCAGGCCAACCTTTACGTAAGAGGGCTCATTAAAGTTTGACCTGTCCTAGCTATTTAACCTTATTGGTGCAAAAAAAGCCCAAAATATTCCATCACCAATACAAAAATACCCTGGATATAAAAAGAAAATGATAAATGCTTTAAAAAAAATGTATTATCCGTGTAATTCCTATCTGTTCTTATCTTCATAACGAGAAATATAATACATAAATACAAAAAAATGTACAGAAATGAAAGACTTTAACATATTTAGCATAGATTCTAGTTACTCAAACCATTCCCTTAGTGTATTTATTCGCTTCAAGCTGAGGCTCATGGATAATTTCTTATCTGGATTCTAGCTTGAATTGTGAACTGCCGCTGGCAAAGTTTTTCGTCTAAAACTGGCCGAAACTAAAACTTTCCTTACTAGAATAAATAATCTTCCTCCAATTGCTTCGCATGGGAGAGTTTGTTGTTAGCATGTTGCTACGCTAATGCATTACTCTAATCAGCAATTCTAATTAGCTTAATAAGTTTCAGTCTTGAACAAAAAATACATTCAAATTATATATAATGTCTAATGAGCATTCTCTCACCATCTTAGTTTTATTTTTTTTCCACTGAGTTTGTTGCAATGCATTTTGGGATTGCATTCTGCATGAGTTATGTTTGTAAAGCTGACTTAAAATTTGGCTGTATACTTATCTTATAAAGCAGCATAATTAAGTTGCCTACCTTTCGAAACAGATTTTTTTGCACCTATGATGCCTTAAAATTCTGCCACAGTATAGATTTTGGAACAGAGCAACTGAGGGCAGTGACGAATGCTGCATAATCAAGTAAATATGGACTGGCAGCTGGTTTAGGATGGGCCCATCTGGAAGATCAGTCTTTACCTGTTAGACTTCAGGGCTTCTGAACATCTGACTAAATTTAGGCACAATATTTTGTCCTTCATTTCAGAGGCACACATAAACAAAAACAGGAATTTTGGGGTGATTTTATGTGTGATATTTATGTGACATTAACTTTTAATCAGCAGGCCAGCTGTGACACTTAAGCCAGCATTAAATATAAATCTGCATAAATAAAGCCATATTATGTGATCAATTTGAATAAAAAGTAAAGAACTTTCTATCTTGAACATTGCAGATGTCCTGTTAAAAATAAGATTGTCTTATAAGTGTCTCAGATTTTATGTATTTTAATGGGTTTAAAATCTTTTTTCCCCTTGATTTTGGACTGTATATCAACTATTTTCCTGCATTTTGCTGACTCTGCACACTTGAAGCCTTTGATGCACATATTTAACCATTCAGTAGGAGCTAGTTTGTTTTCTATAGCTGTATGATAATTACAAGGCTGTGGTTGAGGACCACTCAAACCGAAGTCCAGAAGCTTTGAGTGCTTTAAGTGTAACTTTTAAAGTTGCCTTCCCATGAGAATCACAAGAGCCTCTTCGGAGTAATGTCACCTAATGAGAGGTCTGCTGTGGCTGAGTGCTTTTGACTGTGGAGTATCTTTAACATTCCGTCTCCCTCACTCGCTCTCTAACCTTCTGTTCCTATCAAACTCTCACCAGCCTTCCACTGCAGGTCTCTCCAATTAACACTACTTACTACTAATGACATGTCTCACCATTAGTGCAGAATGGAGCGGACACCAAACCTGTAGATACCGCTTTAATTAGGCGATGTGTCTTGACAATTTATATATTAAGAATGGAGATAAAAAAGGAACGGAAAAGCGCCACTGATAACATTACATTTTTGTGGTAGAGAACTGACCACAAGAATATAGGGGGTCGACATACAGTACTTGTACAGTAACTATAAATAAATTCATATATGTTCAGGAATCATTCTCTTTTCACATTTACTTATTACAATGACAAATCTGGCTGCGCCCTCAGATTAGCAGCAGCAAAATGTTCTCAGCCTTAGCAGATCAGAAGAGCCGCTAGTCTCCAATTACTGTCTTTCTCTTTCAGCAGCAGCCAATAATTAACTGCAGCAAAGAATTATACATATTTTCTCTTTAAAGAACACCTATCCCCATGACACTGGATAGCATAAGAACTGGCTCTCAGTTTAACTATTCAGAGTGTGATTATCATCATTTTGAATACTGTATGGCTGTGTATGGCACCCTTCCAGGTAAAAAAAAAATTTATTAAAATGAAGCGGGATTAAACTAAAGTCTGGCAATGGGAATATTGTTATATCTGATGCACTAAGAGAGATTATGTTAATTTATTTCTATATTCCTAAAATATGCTTGATAGGCTTGAATTTCTACAAACAGGCATAATTTCTTTTATAATAAATCAATATATAATGTTAAATAACTGAATAAACTGAAAGTAAAAATTACAAATTTTTCATTGTAATAAATTCTATGTTTAAATAAATCTAGATCTATATCTACATATAAACAATAAATATTTTGTAGTACAGTGAAAATCAGTTTAGAAACCATTTCACTCAGTCGCTAGTAAATTTAACAAATAAAACAAACCTTTTTTTTTTAAATTAAATGTTAAATTTTGAAGTAAAAAGAATTACATTTTATTGTTTTACATAAATTGTGCTCTTTGTTTTATTTACAACTTAAAAATACATTATGCTGTTTCTACAATACTGAAATATCATTTCTGTCAGAATAAAACAATATATATTGATATAAATTAATTGAATAATAAATGAAGACTTCAGATGCAAAACCCCCAAAAATTCCATCTGAGATTTTTCTTTTAAATGAGCATTTTTATCAGGTTCCTTTTGAAAATAAGGCATTCAATAACTGACAAATCGCCTTTTCATTGCAATTAAAGTGAAATTACTGAATCTAAATATAGGAGACTGATAAAAATACTAATTTAAAAGAAAAAATCTCAGGAAAATCTCAGTCGGACTTAGGTTTTTGCATATTTGCATATTGCATATTTTGCAAATATGAAACGTATGAAAAGTATTCAAATTGTCATAGTAATGAATGTGAAAGAGAATGGTTATTTAACATGTAATGTTAGCCAAAAGTTTACATTAATAATGTCAACTATCAACAAATAATATCTAGTTTGTAGTAATACATTATGCAGTGTTTCTACAATCCTGTAATAAAATTTCTGTCAGAAGAAAAAAATACATAAAAAATATAAATTAATGAAATAATAAATAATAAACTTAATTGAAAGATATCCAGTTTGCCAGTAATGAGTCTGAAAGAGAAGGTTACTGAACATATTAACAAAAAGTTATTGAAATATATGTTTATTTTTGCAGCAGTATTATGCTGTGTTTCTGCAATCCTGCTTTATCCATTCTGCATGCAATAATAATGTGAATTCATTGAATAATCTAAATGCAGAAAGGAACGTAACACTTCTAAACAATCAGCCTCGCAAAAAAAAAACAAAAAAAAAAAAACATAATAAATATGCAAATGTAAGTTAACCTTGAGCGAATGACGTCAAGCTGGAAGGGCTACACTAATTGAAAGTTATAGAGGAAGATTGTGATTTTTAGGGTCAGAGTTAATTATACTACAGATGAGCAGCAGCATCACTGCCACACCTCTGCT